CCCCCCCCAGCAGACCAGGGAGACTGGGAGAAGCTTTTCTCGCCCCGGAGGACACGGGTGGCGACCCGCCGCCCGTGAGCTCCGGGGCGAGAAAAGCCCCGTTCATAAGTGCGGATCTGACATAAGTCGGATCCGCGTAGAGTCGGGGATTGCCTGTATGTTATTTCACCCCACTCCAAGCAGATAGTAGTAAAATGGGGGGTAAGATTTCCCCAAACAAGCTAATATAAAAAAGGATGTAAAGGCTAGAATATACATAGCCTTTTCTTCCATGAACTTCCCTTTTCTCTTAACCTTATCTGTTCTTTCTCTTTTCAGTTCTCAGCTGAAAAAATAATCTGAAATCCTAAAAACAGCCTGTTACTACAGTCAAGACCATACACTGTCCCTGTAAATGAAGAATTCAGCATGAACCAGTGTTAATAAAATACTTATATAGGTCTTGATACAGAACAGTTAAGCACATACTTAAATCCCTTTCACTTCAAGTTTATGAATAAGGATACTCTTCTGAATCGAGGCCAAATATGCAGCTGATCCAATAAACCATATATCTAAGATGGAAAATAAATATTTTCTTATTTGGTAGATATGAATTTAATAGTAAATAAACATAATTTATAAAACAACCCCTGCATTTTTATATAGAGAGGCTGGAATAATTAGGTCATTGCTGTTACTAAAATCTGTTCAAAAGACAGCCCAACACCTCTTAAGAAATGGGAAGAGGATGAATGGGAGTAAGAGAATGAACTAAAAAATTAAATCTGTTTTGAAAGGCATTAAAAGTCTGACAGCAATAATAGCTAAGGTAATATCTGCCATCAGAAAGTGCTGATTGAAACAGCTGAGTTAGTAACCGAGTGCAGAGAGAGAGACAGAGGTGGTATGATGGTTGTGACATATTGTTCTGCAGTGAAGAGAGAGTAGAGCAGAGACAGCAGGTGGCAGCAGCTTCCCCTCAAAGTAAAGTGGAAATTGAAGCAAGCCAAATTAGCTGCAGCTAGCTGTATGGCAGCATTCTCCACTGTGATGCCATTTTGTTGGTTCTATAGAACATATGTAAAACAAATGCTCAGTTGGCATACAGATTCCATCTGGTATGTGAACAGACTGTATCTTAGAAAAGGGATGTTCTCACTTTTCCATTTCCCCAGAGTGTGCATCATCGTATATGCAGCTTCTAAAATTCATTTTATGGATGGAGTTTCATGGATCAAACTCTGGATCTGATTTTAAAAAGACTGTTGCCAACTTTGGTTTGTGATTGTTAATCTATGCTATGCTCTATATAATAAGATGACAAATTTGTGTGCAAAATAAAAATTCATACATCAAAATGGTAACTTCAGCCTAGAGAGAACAGGTCTGACATGAATTCATGTAGTGGAAACTGTTCTGTTTGGCAACTGATTATTCCAGCATGTACACTTAGGGCTTATTTCCACAGGGACTTATTTGTAAGGTAAATTTAAGCTGCTGTAGTTCCATTAGTGTAACTCTCTATGCAGACCCTTCTGTCAGAATAAAAGAGTGCTTTTTTTGTTTTTGTTTTTGTTTTTGTTTAGGTGTGCTGTTCTGGAAGCAGTTCAAGCTAAACTGAAAAGGGTACTTTTTTATTCCTGAATGTGTCCACATGAGGAGCTATATCAATGTAGCTATTGTAGTTTAACTATACCTTGAAAGCTTGTATGTATAGACAAGCTCTTAGAATAAAATTTATGTCCTATGCATAAAATCTGAGTAAATTCAGGGGATGTGAGGTTCATAGGGGTGCAAAATCCATCAAAATCTACCAACCTGTGACTAGGACTCAGGTCTACAACAGTTCTCCTTTGCACCCAACTGGCTGCTGCTTTTCTGTACACTCACTGTAATTCTTTCAGACATCTGGGGGGAGGGATTGATAGACTCATTAGAGTAACATAACAGGAACTCCCTTGGAACCTTCCTTATCCTACCGTAAGCTCCTCCATGTGTCTGACTATTCTAATTGTACTTCCTTAATTTGTTTCTTACCACAGAGCTTTGCAGATGTGTAAGACCCTCCCTACCAGAGGAAATATCATTCCATGAAGAACAGGCCTATTTGGCACAGTGGGGTTACACAAATGTGAATAAGGGCAGAATTTATCAATTTAGATTAAAACCTAGGGACAAATATGGAGTTCCCCTCGAAATCCTCTGGATCTACATGTTCAGATCCAGAATTAAAATATGCCCCTTAATATTCAGAGTAGATATCTAAGGTGTTGTTTACTAACAAGACCTTACATCAGGCTTTCCCCATTCTGAATGCCATTTTCAGATGTGCCACTTCTTTAGATGTGGTATTTTTTTTTTTAAGTTATAATATCAGAACTAAACTGCTCATTGAATAGTGCTGGCACATCTTTGCCATAAGAAGCACTCCAAGAAATGATATTTTCATAAATGCAAGAGGGAAAAAATTGATATCTTTACATGATGGGCTTTTTATTACCAAAGCATTGTACACTAATCAGAAGATGCATTCTTTTCAGAGGGGTCTGACTAGCCTTATTTTGTTATATGTAGTATTTTAAAATATTCTAATAATCAATCACATAAAGGGGACATTCCATTAAAACAAATTTCTTTTCTAGACCCAAAACAGAGAATGCTTGGGTGTTTGCAAAGTCTAATGCAATACAAGCCATTGGGGTGATGTCATTTGGTAAGTGTGTGTGTGTGTGTGTGTGTGTGTGAGAGAACATCTCTTCTCAATCTTTAATCAGCCTAATGGTTGAAAGAATTTACTTTGTTTGAACCTGTGTGGCATATGCATTTTCCTTTTAAGATTTTACCTTAGAGTTAACCTAATTTAGGCAAAATGAAAGCTGGCCCTAATCTTTTCCCATTAGCCAGAATTGAATCTTTATTCAAGTTTGGATAAATCATCTCCCATATGCATAGTCTCCACTCTAACTACGACTGCCACTGTCGTGATATCCCTTATAAGTTCCAGTGTGTTGGTACTCTGAGGTCTCCCTGTTGTTTGTTACTGCATAATATGCCTGTCACAGGAATTCTCAGAGTGGGAGCTGACACATCCGCTGGAATTTTTTCATCTGTACATTCTGGAACATAGGTAACAGAGAAACCCCAGACTGCATCACATGGTAATGTAGACTCCAGAAATCTCAGTAGTTGTTGAGGATCATGGTGCACTCCTGAGGGGAGCACCAGAAGTAAGCCCTGGAAATTGAAATGGAATTGTGAGCAGGAAACTGGGTCTGGGGTTAGTAGGGGAAAACCAGGTGACATTGTAGGGGATGAGAAGTCAGAATCCCTATAGGCTGCATGGAAAGTGGAGACCTGTGTGGAATGAGATAAATATACAAAATGTGAACCATGTAATGTTTGCTACTTGCTGTACCATTCATTTTTATTTCTAATAATAAAATGATTTAAATTATGCTATATTTCCACTATCCTTGAGCCCACAAGCTTAGCATGGTACACATTTTTTATTTTTAATGAAACATATGTTTTTTACTTGCCATGTGTGTTTCAGCATTCGTTTGCCATCATAACAGCTTTTTAATCTATGGCTCTTTGGAAGAACCCACATTGAGTAACTGGTCTCGCATCACTCATGTGTCTGTCTCACTCGCTCTATTTATCAGTGTGGTGTTTGCTGCATGTGGATATGTGACTTTTACTGGCTATACAGAAGGTAAGATACTCTCCACATCTATGGTAAGGCTTAGCTTAGCCTTCTGACACTTTTCACCCTTTTTGTTTGAGATCAGTTAACTCCTTGCAGGATGGAGAGAGGAGGAAATGCCAAGATGATCATTGTCTTTTTGTTTATGTTTGAAAAGGAATGCCCGGGGTTTATCCTTTTTACCTAATAGTAACAAAATAAGAAACTAGCCCAGGGTCTAGGCTTGTGGAAGATGGTGTAGACTGAGGAGAGGAGCCCTGTTGGTGGAAAGTCCATGCCAAGAATATACATTAGCACAGAATTGCTTCTTTCTGTTGGAAGGATTATATGGGATTAGCAAAGTACAATAAGCAGCACTGCCCTGGGTTAGTCCATGGCCAGAGTGGATGGGAAATATGATCAATGCACATAAAAGCTTAAAAAGTTTCCATGCATCTCAGCAAACTCTGCTGGCGGTTCTCTTATTGTGGCTAACTTAGAGCTGTTTCCCATCCATCACCTGTACTCTTTCTGGATGAAATGCCCCCGATTGCAGGTGTCAAGGATGCCACTGACTGGTATGACTGACACACGCCTGGGCCTGCAAGAGCAATTCTCTGTTCAAGAATTGAGCGTCTCATGGGGAAAAATGCATTCCTTGTTACTGAGGCAGAGAAAGTGACTATAAGAGAGTGAGGAGAAAGCTTCCCTTCTAGTAACTAAGGGAGAAGGAAGATGGTAGGTGGAGGATGCAACTTTCTGTGTAGTATTCCTAAAAACCATAAAAAAATTACCTTGAGGCTCCTCTATCTAAATGAGCTTACATTTTTCATATGCAACATTCAGGTGTATATATATTTTTAAATGCAGCCTATAAAATTAATGTCAGAAATGTACCATAGGAGTCTCACTATATTTCTAATAGATATTTCTAATAGATTTTGCGTCCTCTCTCTTTCTCTCTCTCTTTCGGAATGAGTGAGGAGAGGCAGGTAAGCATTAAGGGAGAAAGAAATGGGATAAATACATTGTTGTTTCTCAGGTCAGCCAAACACAATTTTAGAGACATTTCTTCAGTTTCACATTTCGTTTACAGTCCAGTTTAAAGCGGTAAGAGGTTTGTCATCTACATATTTTTGTAGCTGAGAGCAGTTTTTAGTTATGCTCAGAGTATGGGATTTTCACTGATTTCCTCTCCCCTCATCCCCAAATTCTTTATCCAAGAAAGCAGCTTACTTTAGTTATTGCTTATACCCAGCTTTCTAGGTGGACTGACTGAATACAGAATGACTAAAATATATTTCAGGACTGGGAAAATCATACCTCTCCATTTTGTGTATGTGTCTATATCTATATCTATATACACACACACACACTATATGCACTGTAGTATATTACACACGAATGCCTCTTACCATCTATCTTTTTCACCAGTTCCCTTAGTCTCGTCTTTCTCCAGAACAAATCTGGTTGTTGAGCTCTACTGGAATCCTAAAAGTAGCAAGTCTCATATAGTATAATAGAAATCAGAGGCAGAAAAGACCATTTAGCTATAGTCTAAAGATTTGTTAATGTTAAATTGTAAGTGAATCATTCAGCCTGAACTAGATCCCATGGTCATCTTTCCCCAGGTCCTTTTCTATAATCACTAAATAAGGTGTTTGTTTGATTGTATAGCAATATTGTAGTAAACTGATGCAAAAGGAATTATCAGTTAATAATCTATATATTTACAAAGGGCTTTGTTGAAATTCCCCAGCATAGTATTGCAGCTGTGATTGGATCCTGTAAAATGAAACACAGGAAATTCAGGTCTCTAGCTGTATCCATCTAGTCTTCCTTATGTGATTGTTCTTGTCCTAAGAATAACAAAAAGGAAATCTGTTTGTTTTAATGAAATATTTTTGTCTAAAACTGTCATACTTGAAAAAAAACACACCAGCAACACCATTACAAAGTAATTTAAAAAACAAAGCTGCAAAGAATAGGATGAAAAGAGGCTTACCCCTATAATAGATGTTAGATAGATAGGTATTTCAAGTGGGAATGATCTTGAGAACACAAGAAATAATAAAAATGCTGTTATTATCAGTTGTTGACATGTAATTTATGATTATCTAGTCATAATTTTCTGACATTTCCAAAAGTGGGTCAGAAGATCTCAAATATTTGTATACAGTTATTCTAGTGATTTACCTCTCTATTTGCATAAATGTAAGTGTCAGCCACAGTTGTCATGAGATTGAAAATAATTTCATTTTTCACTTTTCTGTAGGAGATATATTTGAAAACTATTGCAGAGATGATAATCTTGCTACATTTGGAAGGTTTTGCTATGGAATCACTATAATCCTGACTTTCCCCATTGAATGTTTTGTGACTAGAGAAGTGAGGCATTTATTTCGTTTTCCATGTTTTTAATTGTGTGATTAATCTGTAAAAAATAGTGTGTGATTTGCCCTAATTTCAGTTTCTGACTAATCTTATGTAAATATTAATATCTGGTGATCTAGTGCATGCTAGCTACAGCATTTAGTAGCTATTTCTTATGGTTTCATAAGATTAATATTGTTTTCTTTAATAGTGCTGCTTAAATTCTCAGTATGTTGTAATGGAACTGGCACATGGTGAACTTCATACGGTATACTAGGCAAGAGGTAGTTGCAACCGATTGGGGAGAGGATTTATAAGAAAGTAGAGAGTGAGTCCTGGATTGTTTCACTGTATTCTTGCTATTCAATTAACGTGAAATCTGTAGGACCGTTTCTCTTTTTAATAAAATACTTTATGGTGAGAAGAGCACAACTGTGTCTGAAGATATAGCAAAGTCAAATGTTGGAGTTTTTGCATAATTGTCATGAAATAATTTCTGAGAAAGTTGAGATCTCACTGAAGTGAAGAATCTGAGATGGTTGAGAGCCATAACATTCTCATCTGCTCCTTTGATTTGCACTATAAAACATAGCATATAGAGTTTGAACCATCCTGCTTGTTAATTAAATAAAGGACCAAAACAAAGTTACAAACTGTGTTTTCATTTCAGGTAATTGCCAATGTGTTTTTCAGTGGGACCCTTACTACCATTCTCCATGTTGCTGTGACAGTAATTGTTGTTGTTGTAGCCACAAGCATATCTTTGGTGTATGATTGCCTTGGAATAGTTTTAGAACTGAATGTAAGTGTATCTAATGCGCCATTCTTCACTAAATCACTCTTTAATATAAATGGAATTCTAAACAAAAAAAATCTACAGTATTCTTTTAAATATAATATAGTGTTAATAGTGTCTGAGAAAGAAAGGAATTATTTACCTCCTCAGAAGATAAGGTAAAAGAAGAATGTCCTGAAACTAAGGAAGAAAAGTTCAGGACAGTTAATCAGAGAACTTTCAGACCCTTCAAGAGTAAATGTACAGTGAAATAGAAAGGATGTGGCTGATGGCAATTAAGTACAGGTTGGATTAAACAGTTGAGTACAGTGGGACCTATGTAATGTGTTGACACTTGCTGTTAGGAAATAATTAGAGTTACTGCAGCATAGAGGATACCGCATGTTGAGTTACTACATCCCCTGGCCATGACTCTTCCCAAGGTAGTGTTTGCTTTTGAGCCTGGATTACTGTCAAACTTTTGACAGAAGGGAGATTGCAACCAATTTCTTCCACTGCCATTGGACTTTCCACTTGGGTCACCACCTGTGCCTTTATTGTGGGAAGGCCAGAGTGTAGGGGCCCAAAACTGACCTCTTAGGAGGGAAAATATATTTCTTGCAAAGTGTCATCCCTACGGGTATGACTAGACAACAGGGTTTTTTCAAAAATTGGCTTTTTCTTTTCAAAAAAACTTCACCTGCATCTAGAATGCCGTCACGTTCTTTCGAAATTAAATCGAAAGAATGAGGCGTTTTTTTCAATAGCAGTAAACCTCATTTTAAAAGGAAGAACGCCATTTTATGAAAGAGCTCTTTCAAAAAAAGGCGTTCTTGAACTCAAACGGGGCTTTTTCGAAAGAGAGTGTCCAAATTGCCTGGGTGCTCTCTTCAAAAAAACAGATAGCTTTTTTGAAAGTCACGTGGCTGTCTAGACAATCTCTTTCGAAAGAGGCTTGTAGTCTAGACATGACCTCTGACTTGCATACTGCTGAAAATTGAAGGCAAAGTTTTCAAACTCCCCTGGACTCAATTTAAAGACTGGACAAAAGAGGCAGCAAAGTCCTGAGGCTCCAGGATGCCACTACTGCAGCATTGGCTGAAGCTCTAGGTCTTTAAATAACCTCTGAAGCCCCAACTAGGCCAGACTGAGCAGTGCTGAAGGACTGACTGGGAGAAGCTAGCCTCTCCTCTTCCACCTGAGGCCTGGGATCTGGAGCTGTACTTCACTTTGCCCATTATTGTCTAAAGACCCAAGGACCATCAATTTTGTCAGCAGCTCTGAAGACAGATAATTACATGTTTCTTGTCTTTAATACTTACTTACACAACACAAAGTATTAAAGACTGAGTAACAGAGTGGCTGGCCCATTAAGTGAAACTGACCTCAGCGCTCCTGTTCCATATGACATGTTCTCATATTGGCCAAATAAGAGGGCATGGTGAGACTCACTGAGAATCAAGAAGAATGAGTGAATCAGAAGTGAAGCAGAAGAGAATGTCCAAAAAAAGAAAGTGCCTCCTAGAAGAAAGTTAAAGGCAGGAGAGTAGCAAAATGGATTTGCTGCTTGGTGTCTCTAAAACAGAAAGCTAGGGTCAGATGGCTAGAGAGGGCTGAAGGCAGGAGCAGTGGTGGCGGGAGTTGCCTTTTGACTCTAACCAGAGCAAGGGTCAGAGAGGACTAAAAGAAGGGAGAGTAGTGGTGGGGCATACTTGATAGCATCTCCTTCCTGAACAACTGGATTAAAGGAATGGTTAAAAAAAGAATAATCCTAGCAGAGAAACTGTGGGAGTTCATGCAGGGAGGAACAGGGTTACAGCCCAGAAGGAAGGGAAGGGATGACTGTCATGGTAGAAAAACTCAGGACAATCAACAGAGTGTGGGTGTGGTGACAGATGCTAGAATGGGGTACATGCAGCGGTGAAAGTAAAATTTCTTACAGATACTATCTTATTGCCACCCAGTTCCCTGCCAGCTATTTAAATAGCTCCCTGCTGGCTTTTGTCATAGCTCAGCCAGCAGTTGCAGAGCTGCGCACCTGGGCGCATCCGCTTACTTTCATCTCTGGGTACATGGCCCAGCTAAGTGTTCCCTTTGGTATTTCTCCCAGCGTTGCTTGTTTAGCATCTGTTGGTTACATTCATTCCAACAGTTGTCTCCATTTTAGGTTGTGTGTATGAAATTCAGATATGTAGAATTCATAATAAGAATTTTCTTAAAGTGTAGATTTTCTTTATTGTTACAGAAAGATTTATCCTTTGTATAATTAACCTGATATAGTGCTATTTTATTAGACTAAATTAATACGTTATTGAGGCACTGCCAGAGAACATCAGTTCTACTCTTACCACGCTTAGTAAATAGGTATGATTAATTGAGGACCTTTGTACTTTTTTAATAATCTTTCATAAAAGTAAGCATTCCATAAATATAATATTGTCCCTTACAGACCAAGCAGTTATCCAATATTTGAATCCTTGCCAGGTTGTTTTCATTGGGGGAAGAAACTGAAGTGAAGAGAGAGTCTGGTATTTATTTGATGCAATCTTGTCTGTTGACAAAAATGCACATAAAGTCCTATTTCCCTGAACGTAGTAGAAACAAACAGGAGACAGTTCCCTTGTTCATAAAGCCCAGTGTGCTTTCTCATTATTATGCCTAAAAATATTTCTATCTCTTGGCTTCCTCCCAAGCACTCTGATCACCACTGCTTTTCTTGCTGTTAGCTCACTTTCTCTCTGCTTCTTTTAATCCATACACAGATATAGCCGCCAATAAATCAATTCCCTGTACTTTCAGTCAAGCTTTAGGAAAGCCCCTTGGGATGCATAGCTTAGCTTCTAGGTCTTTCCATGGTTGTCCATGACTAGGACAATTACTTCTTATTTCAGCTATCTCTAAGCAAAAGGGTCATTTAATTACTCTATCATATAGTCTGAACGAAGGGTGTGTCGTACGCCCATCAATTTCTCCCAGGTCTGTAACTGCCAATAAAACTACCCACAAAAGTCTCTCTCTCTCTATCTATATTTTGTGTGTGTCCGTCCGTCCGTCCTGCAGGATGACAGAATGATGTCATCACATCACTCTACATCCACAGGAGCCAAGCCCCAACCACTCCCAGGTTTGCCCTTCCCAGGGATCATGTGCAGAGGTGGGACAGCTGCGCTGCATCCTGGCCCAGCCCTCCCCTCCCCAGCAGCCAGAAGAGAGTTGTAGCTGCTGTGGCCTCAGCCCAGCCCTCCCCAGCGGCCGCGGGGTGAAGAGCAGGGGCTGATGCAGCCTCGGCGCTGGCCCTGGCCCTTCCTGGCAGCGAGAGGTGTGGGGGGGAGGGGTGAGAGAACGGGGATGATGCGGACTTGGCCTCAGTGCTCCCTGGAGGCTGGAGGGAGAGCTGGGGCTGCCTGGCGAGCATAGCGAGCAGGGGGCGCAGCCCCTAGTGATACCGTATATTTTTGTAAGTTTCTAAGGTGCTGCAGGACTACTCGTAATTTTTAAAGAAAATGCAGATGAATGAAACAAAGACATACAAAAACAAACACGTGGATTACTATACCCACTGCATTCTCTCTAATGAATACATTTATGGATTCTCTTATTTGTAATTAATGCAGGCTATCTATTAAGAGGATTTCAAGTTCCAAAATTGTGCACAGAAATGCAGAGCTCTCTGAGGGAAAATGATGCATGGCTGCAACAATGTTCTAGCCTGTACTGTTGCTTACTTAAGAAAATACTTCACTACATGCTTAAACCCATCCTTCTCCAGGACAGCACTTATGTGCTGGAATTGTAGTTAGTCCCTTTTAAAGTTCAGCACATGCGTAAGAGTTGTCCTAAAGAGGAATGCTTCCTTGAATCAGGGTCCTTGTTTGGCAGCACAAAAATATTGTTCCGAGTAGGTGCAAGTTCAACTCCTGCCTGATGTTTATCATGTACAGGAAGCTTTTCTTTGTTTTGTTGAAAGGTAAAAATTATAAGGAAATCCAAGTTGGTGCTTTGTCTTAGTGCATGAAAAAACTGTAAGATGTAATGAATAATAGTATCCCTTTATATTTCTTCTAAAACCCTTTTAGGAAACATTCCTAAATATTTCATATGATAAAACAGAATCGTAGAACACTAGAACTGGAAGGGACCTCAAGAAATCATCAAGTCAGGAGCAAAGCAGGAGCAAACATCATCTGGATCATTCCGGACGGATGTTTGTCAAACCTGATCTTAAATATCTTCAGTGATAGAGACAAAGCTATTCAAAATCTGGGATTTACTGTACTTCTGGAGCTGAAAATTTTCATGTAATTTTGGCTTAATAGAAAGCAAGCCCATACAGGGTAAAATTTCACCCTGTTACAGTAAAATGAGCAAGTTGTAATTGTTTCCTTCATCCTCAGACATTTCAAATTATAGTGCAGACTCCTTTGTAGTCTGTGTGGGTTTTGGTGATTGAAACCACCCAGAAGAAAAGCCACTAGTCTCATTTCATTTCATAGGAAATTTTTTACAGATCTAATCACAGCTGTTTAACTATAAACTAATTACAACTATATGTGCTTAAGGGTTTTTTATTTTGTTTCCTCCTCCCAGGGGATTCTGAGTGCTACTCCACTTGTTTTTATCATCCCAACAGCATGTTATCTGAAGCTGTCTGAAGAGCGATGGAACCATTCAGATAACCTCATATCCTACCTGATCCTTATTGTTGGTGTCATAGTGATGACAGCTGGATTTATTATGACCATCTTGCATCCCCAAGAATGCAGCCATGGAAAAGAAATGTTCTACTGCTTCCCTAATAATGCCTCTCTTTATAACAATACACTTCCACCTTTTTAGCCAATTTGCCAACCCTAAACCTAATGGTCCTGTCAGTCAGTAAACCCCTAATTGAGACAAAGTTCTCTTATGTGTTCATACTAAGAATCTTAAACGGTACAACTATGTTCATATATCTTGTTTTATGCTATTATCCTTTTGTAGATGAGAATTAACCTTTGATTTTTAAGATTGTGAAGTGCTTTAAGGGGCATTACATCAAACCTGACTTCAGTAGAGCCCCACTAATTTACATGGATAGCTTGAAACCCAATTGCAAAGGATGGAATTTTGCAAATTAACAAGTTAGTAATCAAACACAAGCTTAGATTAGGCATGCCAAAATGTACATGCTCTAGTAATTTAATAAAAGGAGTTTTAGTTTTAATTGCTTTTGATAACACTTCACAGAATTCAGGTTGAATCTCTTTGGTCGGGCAACATCTGTGGTCTGGCATGATTTTCATTATCCAGATGTCCACTTGTTGTGGGTGTGACCAAGTTTTGTGCTGGCCTGTAAAGTTTATTTACAATTTCCAGTCCTGGATCTCAGTGTTTTGTGTTGTTGTTTAGCTCTCATTTACCCCCTAAATGTCTTCTCAGAGCACAGCAAGTATCGGTAATGCTGCTAAGCGTAAGCATGTTTTTTGTGCTTTATCTACTTAATTCTTTGTGGCAGTACGGAAAATTTTTTTTAACACTAACACTTTGTTATGAAGAGAGCTGATAAGGTGTTGACTTATACGGGGTGTATCGGTACAGTTTTATGTTAAGTAGAATTACAGGCACTGTTCCATTTATTCATCTAGCGAAATTTAAAAAAAAAGAGACCCATTTGCTACAATATTGACCTCCCATGGTTTAGCAAATTGTCTGGTTCGGCACCTTCAGTATGATTTCATATATCCTGAAACTGTTATTAAAAGACCTAACCATACCACTCTGCTATTAAGTCTTTGCTGAGAAGTGGATCTAGCCCTATGAGCCCTATGTCTGTGAGTTGTAATGTATCTGGCTTACAGTAAACATCACCTTGGTGCAGAAGACCAATGCAAGACATGTGCACCAGTAAAGTTCCATTTAAAGTCAAAATAGGGTTTCGGTGGTACTTCAGTTGTGCACAGATTATGTATTAGTCCTCTGTATGCGTGCAGTTTTAAATTCTTCCGGTAGGGTCCTGATCATCCTCAATTCCAGTTGATTTCAGCAGTAAATATGAGGGTACGCATGGCTGTGAAACAAGTACTTGGGTCCAAATCCTTAATGGTATTTAGGCATGTAACTCTCATTTATTTCAATGGAAGTTAGGAACCTGTAACTGAGGTTCTGGGCTATAGCCTCTTTCAGTATTAGATACTTTTTTTTATTAATGCTAGATTAGTTTGTTCTGTCCATAGGAAATAGATAATGAAACTAAGTCATTTTGGAATTAACTGAGTACTAAATTTACTGAGCCTAATTGTATCACTCTTTGAATGGTTCATAAATGTTTCGTTTTATTACCAAGATGAGTCAGTCTAAGTGCATAATGCATATATTTTTAATTCATACAGTACATTATATTACAATAATTTTCAGTTGCCATCTAGACATATATGTATGTTGGCACTACAGGCACTTTTACTGTAATATGCTGATCCATTATTAAATTCAACCAGAATTCCTTTAATGTATCAACGTCGTGTAATACTTGAAAAGATTTTGTATTGATTTTACAATTCTGGAATTCATCATTTTAATGTTTTTTCTGTAAAGAATTGTGCAGTTACTGAATAATATATGGACAATTTGACATAGAATGTATTTCCTTATGAAGAATTTATGATCCTCTGAAAAGAGATCAAAATCATATTGCTTATGATACCAATGACATTTGCAGTCTCATCCACTCTCTTTGATTTCAGTACACATAAAGGATCTGAATCAGAGGTGCATAGAGATCCCACTGAGCTGATGAGGTTACTTTCAGGGGTACTTTACAGGATGTGGCCCCATTCATTTAAACTGCACTGCTTCGTATAATGTGTTTTTGATCCTGCACCATTAAAAATAATAGGAATTTTCTCTTGATATGAACTCTATAACTTTACATTACACAATCATTAGTTAGGTTAGAGGACTTTATTTGTGAGGTGCAGGGAATAATATTAAGTGCTTGCCTTTCATCTATCTTTCCTTAAAATTTAATCACAGTTTGTACCATCAGTGAGAGATGTCACTTCTATCACCTGCTTAAGCTAATTGTACTTAAAAGCTGGTTTCAGAAAGATGATTTGTCTTTTACTCCCTCTTGCCCATGAGGTCTCTCTCCAAGGCTATGATACATGTTCCCCCTTCTCTTTGACATAATCTTCAACTGGTAATGGCATGAACAACTAAAGGGAGCATGGAGGATTAAAATAAAAACCCATGAAGACCTACTAAACTGATTATAGGAAATTAAGTTTTTATACGATGTGTATTATATTCCTAGTCTAGCTAATTTCTAGTTTTGATTATTACTTGCATCAAGATTACCTTTAAAAATATTGTTACTGCTAAATTCAGAAACTGCAAATGAGCCTAAAAACATGAAGCTGCAACCTTTATAATGTTGAGGAAGTCATCTAGTAGGTAACACCAGGGCTGGTGGTAGCACTGCCTTCCACATGGGGAAGTACAGGCCAGATGCCTGTCTCAGAATATAGTGCCATAGCCAGCAGCAGTGAAAAAGGTGGCTAGTTGGAGTGCAACTAGAGAGACTGAGGGCAGGTCTACACTAGAAGTGCTACATGGGCACAACTGTGCCACTGTAGCGTGTCTGTGAAGATGCTCTGTGGTGACAGGAGAGAAATGTGTTACTAGGTCACAGATGGTCCCTCTTTGCTTTCACAGCTAACAGTGGTTCAAACATTTTCTTTACAAAGGACGGGGTGGGGCGAGGAAATCTCCACACTTTGTGATCTGTGTTTAACAGCTTCTCTGAAGAGATAGAGCCCTAACAGAACAAAAAGGATTAGCGCTTATTTATTTTTGTAGCATACTGAGAGCTTTTGTGAGAGGCGCAACACATTTGCCTTGGCACAGGGTGTTGCTGTACTGACCACTGCACAAAATGTATTCAAATTCAGCACTGGCTGTCACAGCCCCATGGAAACCTACTTAGTAATTAAAGAAGGCATGGAGGGGGAATCACATGATGGCTGTCTGCTTGCTGTCATCATTTCAAATGAATTCTTTGAAGTCTTTTTGAACAAATTGACAAGTAGCTTCTGTTATAAAAGTTATAACTATTTGCCTGGATAAGATGGAACAATTAAAGATGAATAGCAGGGAGAAAAGTTACAGGAAAATGTGGCCGCATATTTAAAGCACTTCTGTCAATGATGGGCTCTAAAAGCTTGCCCTTAGCCTCACCTTGGTGTGCTGTAGATATTAAATGAGTAAGTGCTTCCAATCAACACCAGGGAATAGTTGCAGGCTCTAGTCAGTCCTGGCCAGAATGGTCTGTCAGATACTGCCTGGTTTAGAACATTATCTACCATGGAACAGACAGAGAAACTAATAGAAGCATCTGGAAAGGATACAATAATATCTGGATGCACAGGAAGAATGTGCATACCCCAGACATATAATTATACACATTCATTGCTTTTCCTACAGCCATCTCTCTATTTTATCTTTTCACAAAAGAACTGACTTATAAAGCTGTAACATAGAGGCCTAGTGGTTTTAATGGGTTACTGTTCTTTACAAGCTGTCCTGTCCCCCATCTGACAAACTCAGCATATCTAAGACATTGCTTTCTTACTATTTGTCCATGCAGCATCGCATGTGAGCTGTCTGCTGACAGCTTATGGCTTGTTAATACTCAGTTGTTCTGAGATGTGACACCGGATAACATTTAAAGAATAATGTAAGTATATTAAATTAAGCCCAGGGGTGACAACAGCTTCCCCAGACAAAGTGTGGTGGGACCTGGCCAAAGTCAGAAAGGGAGGGACCAGGATAGAGCCAACCCTCAGAGTTGCACTTAGCATACAGTGTGGTGAATTAAAGGGCCCTGGGACTCCAGCCGTTGCCAGAGTGGCAGCAGCTGGGAACTCTTGACTCGTTTGAATCGCCAGACCCCAGAGCAACTGCCCTCTTTGTTCCCCCTTCTGCTCCCTCTCAGTGGGCCTGACTATGCCTTATGGTTTTGGAGGGAATGTGAGTCACCAGGGAATCATACGTCCCAGGGATGGCTCATTCAAGCAAGAGAGAATTGTCATCGTTTCCTGGCCAGCTGATTATGTCGATACCGGGTTTCCAATGGGGCCGGTGGTACCATGAGGCTGGACCCATTCTCAGAAGGAATCGCCCGCTTGGCCCACTCCACTTATCCTGCACCCTGAGTCCCACCTGCCGATGACTCCTCTCCAAACCTTGACTCCCTCCCCTCCACTCCTGACACTGACAAGCAGCAAAATAACACCATGCTCAATTGTCCATAGTTGCACCAATACAAAAAAAGTTAATGGAAAAAGCCTACCCAAGATAAATTATAAACATTAAGACTGCTTAGAAGTAAAAAAGAACATTATAACCAATGGCCATGGGGGAGGGGGAGAAGACTTTCTGTCTCTGGTCACAGTGAAATCTTTTGAGCAGAGTACAGTATATCATGAAAGTTTGGATCCTGGATCCTGAGAAGCCAGACTGCTCTGCAACAAATTGAAATTTTGGAAGGAAACCTGCTTTATTAGGGAGGAAAGGTGACAACTGATCAGTGTAGGCCCTCTGTTGCATTTCATTATTTTTTTATATATTTTAACCATTTATTTCCAGCTTTTTCTATTCTTTCTTAAATAAGCCTTCTTTTGGTTGGAAGTGTGGTGCCTTATACAAGAGAAATGATCTAAGGTACAACTGGTAAACAGATATACTGTTCCTTTGGGAGCAAAGGAGCTGAGATTTCTGTGAGTAGCCAGTGCTAGGGGCTGGATATCACAGGGAATGATTCAAGGGGACTGAAGTCTCTCCTTTTAATCTTCAAGCACAAATAGGGCTGGCATAGCTCAGATGAGATTTCTTGAGTGTTGAACAGTTAATGGTGGTAATTTACTAAACCCCAGCTACAACAGGCTAAACTCCCTCTCATTAGAGGTAGGAGAGAAGGGGTAACAAGGTGACACACAGTCCTGAGTACTTCATGAACCCTCACAAAAGCCGTTTCAGATTTAGGTCTATAATATGGCCCTTAACAAGACAAAAGTACCTCAACATATTTGCAAGTTTTGGAGGGATAGCCGAGTTAGTCTGTAACATGATATGTTTAAATCCTTGTTCTGTATATTGTTTGCTGTTGCGCTACTGGTTGTATTTGCAAATGAAAAACAAAAATGAATTATGGACATAGTTAGTCTCCCAAGGAGCTGTCAGATGTAGGTATGCTCCAGAGAATAGACAAGACCTGAAGAAAAATATTTGGAGGGAAAATGGGGTTGATCCATAAGACTGTGCTATACACATCATCAGGCCTAGGTTTCATAGGTTTCTGAGTTAGTGAGGTGAAGTTGTGGGTATCAATCCCAAATTTGGTTCACAAAGTCTAAAGTCTACTGCCATTTAATAATATTGTCTCTCTCACACACACACAATTCCCTACAAGTATTAATATATAAATAAAAAAGTTTAAGAAAATCATCAATGTTGTCCATCAAAACATTATACATATATATATAATAGAGCTTTTATGAACCCTGGTAAATTTGGAGGTTCTCAACTAAAACTATCTCCGATACTCACTTGGTCTTCCAACCTGGAACATTTTTAGAAACATTTTCCATTTAAAAACTTAATTTCAATGTCACATATTCTTCATCCACCATATCCCTATATAGGCAGCTTTACTTGAACTTCTTCGACCTACATTTACACATTCTTTTGACTATTACAATAATAATGCATGTTTGCCATTAATCTTAAGATCTTTTGTTGATTTAGTAAATCCTTTTGCAAGGTAGAGAAAGCAGCAGCGAGGGGCAGGTTCCATATGTAAGGGTCAATCTCCATCCATTCAACACAAAACTGGCTTGAGCCCCTACCCAGTAACCTGGAAAATTCACACATCACTCCTGGGCACCTCTGATAGGCAATGCTTGCCCACTTACAAGCACAGAATCTAAGTCTAGAAAAGAAACTTTTAATAAAAAGGAAGGGAAATAACTAGGCATTAATTTGGGAAACACCACAAACAGAGTTCATAAACAAAACCATGACTGGGGTCCCATCCCAATTAATGGAATGATAAGTGGAAGCATAGAATACCCAACATTTCTCAGGACTTAATTTTTGAATTCCTATTAGTTTGTTTCAATAATAATTAGTGATTTTCCACCTTGGCTCTTGTTTTTAATTTCATTCTTTAATCTTATTAAATGTAAGGTTGGCAACAGCTGTCTCTCAAACTCCCATCTTTCCCCAAAATTAGACTATACCTTACAGAGGGAAGAATAATGATAATAGTAATATTATTGTTGAGACAAAGTTGGCGATGAGAAACAGTTATCAAACTTCAGATAAACTAAAACAAAATTCCACACTGAAGTCTTAAATGCATTGAAGTTAAAGCTGTAAATGTGTACCATAATTTTTGGAAGGAAAATTTTCATAAACATTTTGTTAACCATCAGATATCTGAAAACCAGGAAACTCCATTTACTGCATGTAATGAAGCACAAACAGAACTCCAGCCACTGGCATGTATAGAAATATAGCATTAAGGTAACTTTAATTTCATCCCCATCCCATCCTATTTGCTCTCTTTGGAAGGCAGATACTTACTTATAACAAGTATTTAGAGTATTACAACTTGTTGACAAGTTGTATTCTAGATACCACTGATGATTTGTCCAGGTGCTTTGGCAGTTGGCTATCTAATCAATCCCATATTCTTTGATATTTCACAACAGATGCTTAATAAGCATTCACCTTTGCTTGTGCAGCAAAGTATGGGATTTTCCAAAGAATGTAACTGACTTATGAGTACAAGTTCTGTAGGTAGTCAGCCTAATTCATTTAGGAGATTTTGAAGAAAAATGCCTATGTTACATAGTCTGTTTTTCATTTCACACATTGACAAACTCTGGGAACCTATCCTCTTTGAATAGTAAAGGTTTATAATCATAGTAAAGTTTCCAGCTCCTGCCAAATGGGAAATATATTAGAAAGCAGAGTTAGACTGTGACAGGCTTTTGATTCTTATAAAGTATGTAAGAAGCAAGATATTTCTATTGTCAAGGAAGCATGTGTTGGATTGATGGGAGGCCTCCAATAAAATAGGAAATGCATGTACTGAGCAATGCAACATATTAACATATCAAGTAAGCTACAGGGTAGGGGAATATGTAATTCTGATTATTAACGTTAGAAATGTATGGACTCCTGGTGCACAGTTATTTGTAGTTTAGGTGGAGAGTGGCAGTATATGAAAGCAGAGTTAAGGTTATTTGCATACCAGAGA